AGAGCTTACTAAGACTTTTATTATATGTTAGATATATGCTGTTTATATTTTTAAAAAATCAAGGTTTCTGTAAAGAAGTAAATTAAGAAATTTCAAATTAGGTAATTCACAACATCATCATCATATAAGACCAAAATTTTTAGGCTGAATTATGGTCAGCTGAATTAGCAGCGATAATAATAAATTTTGCTTTAGAGCAACAGAATTATTTATTAAAAATTTCACATTGTAAAAACTTACTTGACATGTTATATATTTGACGAGATTCCGTAATCGTTTATCACGCACTATATTATTCACTAGTCAAAATTTTTAAGCCAAAAAAAAAAGAAAAGAAATTTTTAATAAAGTATATTATTTACATTATATACAGTATGTTAATGATAAAAATGCTTAAATATATTGTGTCAGAAATATATTTTATATAAATTTTTTTTTTTATAAAAATAACCCTGAAAAACAATATTGAAGTTTACATTGCAAATAATGCTCTTTTTACTTTATAACAAATGAGTTTCGTCAAATGAAAACCCGACAATTTAAATATAGATTATATTTAAATTGTCAGGTTTTCTTTTGGCGACACTCAAATATGACAAATTACTGTATTAAGTTAAAAATTTTATAAAATAAATTTGCTCCACGCACTAAACGGCTGAATATGAAGGTCAAGAAGGACTTAGAAATATTTACAACCGTATAGTTGAGTAATCAGAAAAGCTTTCAAAAAGGTTTACCAATTAGCCCAATAGTTTCTGAAGGTTTTATATACTACGTACAGTAAAAAGATTAATTTTTCTAATCGATAGTTGTATTAACATTATAAGCAGTTTAATTTGATTTAATATTGTATAATACAGTAATCAATGATTTGGCAATTCTATAGGCGAGATGGTCATTTTTTCCACCAAAAAAAAAAAAAAAACATACCGAGAGAAGAAACTTGAGAAAGCTGTCATTGTAAATAAACTAACATTAAAGCTGTTCATATCGAAGAAACAATTTTTTACAATTCCGTTTTTATTTTTTTTACGAAATTTTATTTAAGTAATCAAAATTGCATATTTAAATTTATAATTATTTGTGATAATAAAATTTTACTGATTTTACCGATTGCAAATAATGTACGATATTTTTTAAATTCATGATTGATATACACCGATTTCGAAACGTCATAAATTGAAAAATGACGCGAAACATATATAGTGTGTATCTAATGTACAGTAAAAATCAGCTAATTGTAAAATATAGTAAGCATAATTCCAATCAATATGTGTTATCAAAATTATTATAGAACTAATCATGTGGAATCAGGTTTTTCGGGAACTGAAGTCTAAAGAAATAATAGTATATCAATTTATAGATTTTTTTTTTCTGTCACTTAGGTTGTTCACGTCCGTCTAGCCTTGGAATATCTTTGTTTTTTATCCATAAATAACAAGCTAAACCAATGAAGAAACAGAATAGAGCAAACCCACCAACACCAACAAGAATAACAATATTAATGTTCGATCCACTACTTGATCCACTACTCGATCCACTTCTCGATCCGTTACTCGATTCATTGCTACAAATTGATATACCAGGTGTAAAAGTAGTAGCCCATGTTTTGCATTTAATATCTAATAAATAAATACGAGAATTTATTTCAACTGACTGTGTTGAATTATTAGTAATATTGCCTATTATTAATATATTATTAATTTAATATTATTTTTAAAGAAAGGTAAATATTAATTTATCAATGTTGATAAATATAAATATATAATCACCAAAAGCAATGAAAAGATAATTCTGATATAAATTAGCAGTATGAAATGCTATTGGCGGTGGTTTTTCACCAGAAGTAACTAGCTCGGAATATTCGTAAGGCTCTTTTGTGATATTTAACGACACAAAAATTGGAAAAGTAATGGTAAAGTTGTAATGATAATCTAAATATAAAAAAATTGCTAGTACGTATTATATTTATCAAAAGAAAAAAATAAATAAATATAAGTATATTGAATGTTACGTACTTGTATTTCCGCCTATTATTAAAATTTCATTATTGTCTGGTGTCAAAGTTGCTGTATGTCCTAATCGAGGTTGAATACGAATAGACTGATTTGCATACTAGAAACACAATGTATATTATCGAGAAAATTTAGTGCAAAAATAATTATTACCAAAAACCAAATCAAGCAAATACTGTACCTTATATGACCAAGTCGAAGAAATTGTATCAAATATTGGGATCTACAATAAATGTTAAAAATAATATATATGTTATATGTGAATAAAAGAAATTCTAATAAAACTATCCATATGACGCTGTTCCAAATATTTAGTGAAATAGTTTTACCTCATTCATATCTATTAAGTCCGCATCCACGCCAGGTTCAGTCTGAGAGACGCCACCAATGTATAGAATCTTACCATTTGGAAGAAGTACTGGGGCAGCATGACTTCGAGGTGAAGGAGCATTTACTGCGTTAATCTTATTCCATGATAACAATACTGTATCAAGGGTATATAAATCATTGTAGCAGACGAATGTAGGTGACCCTGTGTCTACTTGGACTCTTCCTCCAAATATATATATTATTCCATTCTGATCTATAACCGTTGAGGTTGATCTACGTCTAGTTGGTGACGTTCCTTTGTAGTTCAAAGGATATGACCAAGATTTTCCAAATAGTGTGTAAAAGAAAACGAATTGATCTGTCATGTTATATGTTTTACTTATTTCTTCTATCATTAACGTTTGGTTTAAAGTTATGGTTATATTATTGTCCACTTCACTAAGCCGTGTGAGATTTTGCTGCATTCCTCCAATGAGATACACTTTATTACCACTAGCTTCTCCAAGTACTGCCGTACCTAATAATTGTTATATGAAGATATAAGAGTGCATACTTAGAATTAATAAACATTTCAAATCAAATGTCTAACCTTTCTCGCTTCCGAATTTCATTCGTGCAGAAGTATTAGAAAGGTCAATATATGGAGGGCTACTAGTGTAGAATTGGGACGAGAGATCCAGGTAAAAAACTTCATCCGACAAGTCATATAATCTAATTGGGCTTCGAATTGGATTCGTAGGCAAAATAAAATGAGAACCTCCTATAAAAACGAGTTTATTTTCAACTATTACTGCTACATGCCCTGCTCGATCTGGTATAAGACCAACAATTCTAGAAATCTTAAGTACATATATAATCATAAAAAAAATAAATTGACTTGATTTTATTTTTTGATTCCACATTCTAATTTATTGGTTTATGTTAATATAAAAAGGTAGATAAATTATATATCATTTCTGTACATAAAGTAGCAACTCTAGAAGAGAAACTTTTATATAAGATTTAACCTGTGTTTTAAAATACTTTCTATGAAATGGGCTGAATATGCAGTGTTCGTTTTATTCGTGTTCCATACGTGAACGTATATTTCGCCGTATACAAACGCGACGATGTCACAAAATTTCAATTTGTGACATTTATTCTTAATTTAGGAACTTGTGTGTTACAAAGTTAAGGCCACGCAAAGTTAATATTTCGTAAAAAAAAAGAAGTTTCTATTGTGCTATTTGCTATTTACTTTTGTCCGTATCACTCGATGAAACTTTAATTTCCCAGAAAAATCGGATAAGACCGACAGAAAAAAAAAAACCTACCAAAATAAGAAGAATAATAATGATAATAAATAAGTCATGTTATTGATAATAACTGATTATTTACTAGAACACTGTGCTTATAACGTGACTGAAGAGAACGTTATAACGCGATGTTTGTTGTGAAGAAATCAGCGATTATCATTGACAATATGTGTGCACCTAGCCATTTTCTGCATCTTATTGAGTCATTCCTAAACGTGATACACAAATTTTGTTCACTCCAATAGGAGGTGAACAAAGTTTGTGTATCATGTATTAGAATTGGCCTAATAACATGCAGAAAATGGCTAGGCATTCACATACAATAAATATATATATATACCGTATTCCTCCGAAAACATTCACAACTTTTTTGCTATAAGGTTGCTTGTTTTCAGATATAATCTCAACTAATAACTTGAATGACCTGATATATAGTTGTTTATATTTATTATATAAAAGGTGCTTATTTTCGATTATACTTTTGTCCCAAAAGTTCCTATACACAGTCCAAGGTGACCTTATATATGGAGATCACGATGATTATTTATACAACACTTAAAAAAGGAACCGTGTATAGGAATTTTTGAGACACCTAGTATATGAATTGTAGGGGTGCTCATTTTCGGGGGAATACGGTATGTATAGATATAAATAAATATAAAACCAACAGACCGACCCGATTTTCAAATTAATACAAAACGAAAAAGTATGTGGCGTTATCGGAAGCATGAAGTAGGAATTCGATAGAAGTATGCAGTGCAACCGGGTAATCTAATACCCGGGTGATAATCTAATCAATTGCTTATTAAAAACCGAGTTTATTGTGGTCTTCGCGACGTATGACATGTCGTTAGTGATGGGCACAGCGCGTGTTGCGTGAGATTCAAAAAAACTCCCGCGCGGGATATATTATATAATTCAGGCATTGTCATAAATCCGGCCGGGTTCCGAATTATTGACTCATTTCCGCAAAATTCAGAAATATATCCCACTCGGGATTTTTAGAAAAACAGCATCACTACATGTGGTATACTTAGTGATCAAATTCTATGATGAAAAAATATTAAAAATCATTAGATATTTATTGCGTAATTAAAGGCAAATGCTATTTTACCTTGTGTAAGATTTTTATAATTATTATATAGTCCTTTAAATGATCATTATGCCGGCTTCACAGTGTATACAAATTTGGTGAGGAGATTTTGACAAGTACAACATGATTTTTCTGATTTTAATTAAAATCGGTTGATATTGGGTTAGATTATTGCGCTTTGCAAAAAGATGTGAACACTGCAGATCATTTTTTCATGCGAGAATCGAAGATTTTATAGATTTTTTGAGATTTTAAGAATTAAACTGGTTTCAAAGAAATATAAACGTAACTAATCAAAAATATAAAGTAACAGACAACCTGGAATCTTAGTGATTCTCAGCCATCATCATACATGTTCACATCTTTTTGCAAAGCGCTATAAAGGATAGAGAGGAGGATTTATATATAGTAAAATCACATTTCTGATATTTTTACTCGGATTTTTTGTATTTTTATCTTTGTTATTTTGCTTTGTTTTGTTCAGACAGATCCGGGTTCATATTGGGTACTCTCATAATGTACCTAGCTTTAGCATATCCCAGTATTATGTAACACTTAAGAGTTGCACATAAAAAAAAATTTAAAAAAGCGTATTTATTTACAAAATTTAGCAAAATAAAATAACATTCTATTTACTATCGGATGATAAAAAAAAAAATTCAAAAACTTCAAATTTTAAACTTTAAATTCTATTAAAAAACTGCTATTTCTTTTTAGATTGGTGATATTATGGCACATTATTGTTTTACTTGCATCTTCCCTTCAAATATTAGCATATGGAAGATCCTATTAATAATTTTGAAGGTTTTTTAAAATTTTAACGGTGTTTTCTCAATGGCTACTTAATCAAATTTGATAATTTTTTTATTTTAATTATATAGTATTGTAGATTTAAAATAAAAAAATTTATTGGATTTGGTTCAGTAGTTGTCAAGAAAACATCGCTAAAGTTTTATAAATATCTTCTTAAAATACTAAAATCAGGCGAGTTTTTCTTTCTTTGAACTTTAAACAAGGATTGCTTGATAAGAAATTATTTAAATTCATGAATTTTTTTATTTTAATTCTGTGGGTTCATAGAATTAAATTTAAAAAAATTGATTGAATTTGAATAGCTGGCTGTCAAGAAATATTCACTAAAGTTAAAAAAAAGCCTGGCTGCAGCTTCTTTCTAAAGTCATCAAAACTTTGAACAAAGATTACTTGGTATTTACATAGTCAAATTCAATCACAATTTTTTTATTTTAATTATACACGTATATGCTTATAGAATTAAAATAAAAAAATTTCGACCAATTTTGACTAGGTAAGTGCTGAGTAATCTTTAAATACTTATAAAGAAACTGCAGTCAAAGTTTTTTTATAACTTTAATAAACAATCAACGATCTAAATTCGATAAATTTTTTTTAATTCTATGAACTTCTAGAATTAAATAAATTTTTTTAAATTAAATTTTGATAGTTGGGTATCAATAAATCAGCATTCTAAGCTTTCTAAAAAAATTTAATAAAAATATTGCAACAAAAATTTGTATTTAAACTTTAAATGAAGATGTCTCGACAACCAATTATCCAAATTTGATGAAATTTTTTTATTTTAATTCTGTGGTTCCATAGAATTAAAATAAAAAAATATATCAAATTTGAATAGATGGTTGTTGTAAAATATTCATAAGAAGTTTAAAAAAAGATTGGCCGCAGCTTTTTTATATAGACACCTAAACTTTGAATAAAGATTACTCAGCACTTACCTAGTCAAAATTGGTCGAAATTTTTTTATTTTAATTCTATAAGCATATATAATTAAAATAAAAAAAAAATTGTGATTGAATTTGACTATGTAAATACCAAGTAATCTTTGTTCAAAGTTTTGATGACTTTAAAAAGTAGCTGTGGCCAAACTTTTTTTTAGCTTTAATGAATAATTATTGACAACCAGTCAAATTTGATCATTTTATTAAATTTAATTCTATGAACCCACGGAGTTAAAATAAAAATTTTATGAACTTGAATAATTTGTTGTCAAGTAATCCTTGTTTAAATTTCAAAGAAAGTAAAATTCACCTGATTTTACTATTTTTTCAAATATATTTAAAGTGTTTTTAAAACTTTAGTGATGATTTGCAATAACTACTAAACCAAGTTTAATAAACTTTTTTTTATATTAATTCTACAATACTATATAATTAAAATAAAAAATTATCAAATTTTATTAAGTAGTCATTGAGAAAAACATCAAATTTTATTAAGTAGTCATTGAGAAAACATTATTAGAAGTTTAAAAAACTTTTAAATTTATTAATAGAATCTATATAAATGTAATACAAACTATCAGCAACATGCCTAACCTGGCGCACAATTCAGATGTGTCAAATGTTGTCCAAATGAGAAAATACATAGCAAAATTAAAGAACACAAAGTAATATATAAACCATAATATTTGACTTTCATTTATTTTGTAGTTCAAACTGTACGATTTTTATGTACGTAATCTGAATTGTCTCAATGAGACAAATCGAATAGCACTAATATATTTTGATTCTAAGTGCTGTTTAATGGGATATAACTGAAATTCCAAGTGCGCCAAACTACACAGCTCCCTTATAAATAATATAATAAATGATTTAAGTATGCTTTAAGTCAAAATCAATAATATATTATTGTAATTTAAATCAAATATATTTTTATAAAATATTTTTTATAAAAACCTTGAATTTAGCAACATTCTAAAGAATTTAGAAAACAAATGTTTACAATTTTTGATGAAATGCATTATTGAAATTTACATTACAAATAATGCACTTTTTACTATATAACAAATATGATATAAATTATTACTGTATTAAGTTGAAAACTTTATAAAATAATTTGCTCCATGCACCAAATGACCGAATATGAGGTCAAAAAGGTGCTTCTTGTTCCTCTGTATTTACTTGTACTTTCGTGTTTGGGTTATTTTCACCGAAACAGTAAATAACCTCTATGTATTAAATAACCTAAAACAATGGAAATGATCAAAATAATCCCACCAATAATCCCACAAACAAGAATAGTAATATTGATATTCGATCCACTACTTGATCCACTACTCGAGTCACTGCTACAAACTGATTTACCAGGTATAAAAGTAGTTACCCATGTTTTGCATTGAATATCTAATAAATAAATGCGAGGGTTTATTTCAACTGGCTGTGTTGAATTATTAGTAATATTGCCTATTATTTATATATAATATTATTTTTAAAGTAAGTTAAATATTAATTTATCAATGTTAATAAATATAAATATATAATCACCAAAAGCAATGATAAGGTAATTCTGATATAAATTAGCAGTATGAAATGCTATTGGAGGAGGTTTATCACCAGAAGTAACTAGCTCGGAATATTCGTAAGGTTCTTTTGCAATATTCAGCGACACAAAAATTGGGAAGATGGTGGTAAAGTTGTATTGATAATCTAAAGATAAAAACTTGTTAGTGTTATATCTATTAAAAGAAGGAAATAAGCAAATGGAAGTAGATTGGATGTTCCATATTTGAATTTCCGCCTATTATAATAATTTCATTATTGTCTGGTGTTAAGGTTGCTGTATGCCCTAATCGAGGTTGAATACGAATTGACTGATTTGCATACTAGAAAATAAAATATACATTTTCGGGAAAATTCGGTGCGAAAATAATTATTGTTAAAGACAAGTCGAAGAAATTGTATCAAATACTGGGATCTACAATAAGTTACAAATTAATATATATATTCATTATGAATAAAGAAAATTCTAATAAAACTATCTGTATGTCGTTGTTTCCAATATTTGGCGAAATAATTTTACCTCATTCATATCTATTAAGTCTGCATCCATTCCAGGTTCAGTCTGAGAGACACCACCAATGTATAGAATCTTACCACTTGGAAGTAGTATTGGAGCAACATGACTTCGAGGTGAAGGAACATTGGCTGCGTTGATCGTATTCCACGATAATAATACTGTATCAAGTGTAGTGTTCAAAGACAAGCCGGCTTATCACGGCTTGCTGCGGCTTAATGCGGCTTATCATGTGATAAATTCGAATTATCACCAAGCCATGTGATAAGCTCGAAAATATCACGTGTCAAATTCGAGGATATCACATGGCTTGGTGATAAATTCGAATTTATCACGTGATAAGCCGCATTAAGCCGCAGCAAGCCGTGATAAGCCGGCTTATCTTTGAACACTAATCAAGTGTATATAAATCATTATAGCAAATGAATGTAGGTGACCCTGTGTCTACTTGGACTCTTCCTCCAAATATATATATTATTCCTTTTTGATTAATAACTGTTGAAGTTGATCTACGTCTAGCTGGCGGCGTTCCTTTTTGGTCCACAGGATACGACCAAGAATTTCCAAATGGTGGGTAGAAGAAAACGAACTGATCTGTCATGTTATATGTTTTATTTATTTCTTCTATCATTAATGTTTGAAGTTATAGTTATATTATTGTCAATTTCATTAAGCCGTGTGAGATTTTCCTGTACTCCTCCAATGAGATACACCTTATTTCCACTAGCTTCTCCAAGTACTGCAGTACCTAATAATTTTATATGAATATAAAGCGTACATATTTAGTTTAGAATTGTTAAACATTAAATCAAATGACTAACCTTTCTCATTTCCAAATTTCATTCGTGCAGAAGTATTAGAAAGGTCTATATACGGAGGGCTACTAGTAGAGAATTGAGACGAAAGATTTAAATAAAATACTTCATCCGATAAGTTATATACTCTTATTGGACTCCTAATTGGACTTGCGAGTGAAATAAAACGTGACCCTCCAATAAAAACGATTTGATTTTCAATCGTTACTGCCACATGCCCTGCTCAATCTGGTACAAGACCAACGGTTCTAAAAATCTTAGATACATATATAATCATAAAAAAAATAAATTTACTTATCATTTTTTTGATTCCGCATTTATAAAGTAAAATTTATTTGGTTATGTTAATTATATATGTTAAAGTAACCCTCGGTAAGACGCCTTCAATACAAGAAACTCTTGGTACGAGAAAGATTTTATAAGTCTCAATTAAAAATTTTATAAAAAAGAAACTCAATATAAGATTTTGGCTGGGCCCGGTGACTTTTTTATATCAAGAGTCATAAATATTTTATCGTCGATTTGTATAGTATTTTTCGTGTAACAGTGTTAATTTAATTTTGTGTTTTAAAAGATCTTAATATAAAGGTATTTTTCGTGCTCGTTTATTTTTCCGTATACAGCGCGAAAATGTCACAGATTTTCTTAATTTAGGGACTTGTATGTTACAAAATCAAATCCAGACAAAGACAATACAAAGCAGCATCTGAAGCGGTGATTGGCTGATTTTTAAAGATCATCTCTATCAATAAAGTCTTATTAAAGTAACGATTTGCTGTCCACAAAATGTATTTGGACCACACGAGCACGAATTCGGTAAGGTTACGATATAAAAATTTAGAAACTACTGTACATGTTTGGTTCTACTGTACCATATACCAAAGTAATTTGGTAATTGACGAGGTAATTCGGAAGTTAGATGAGAGGTATGTTTAGGTGTTTCAATTTAACCAATAAATTTGCAATGTATTAAACATACAACGCTAATCTATTTTATTTATTATTTTATTTATTTCTAAGTCACGTAATGCTGGTATATAGATTAGTGACATGAAATAATGAAAGCATGAGCTTGCGAAATTTATGATAGGTTAAAATATAGTGTTGCGTCTAAGATTATTAATTTAGAATTATGCTAAGTTCGTTTGACATTAATTAGCTGTTATTTATTATTAAGCATATACTCTATATAATCACCTCTAGTACAGTCGCAAACTCTATATAATCACATAATATTTGAATTTATTGAACGATTTTAATAATAAAATCACCTTTATAATCTATCCGCGAATATTTGGAATTACTATTTAAGGGAGGATTGAAGATCAAGGAATCCAATAATATCCATGATGATCACATCACATAATTAAGTGTTCGGCGGCGTTAGTCTAATTTGTGTTAGTGAACAGATGACGTAATTGCATGATTTCACGTGATGTGATGATCACTGGGTTCCTTGTTCTTCAAGTATCCCATTTATAATACTGTTCAGTAGAACAAACGAAGATTCAAATACTGTTCTATTTAACTGTATACTACACTTAGAGACATTTTGAAGTAGAAAATAGTAATATATAAACGTTAAAGTTTCAAATTACTGTAATTTATAGAAATATCAGATAGTTTTTCTATATACTTAAAAAAGGTGATTTAGTAAACTTTATCCAATAATTAAATAAATTGTCAATGCCATTTAAGCCACAAAAGTAGGTGAGTTTATTATTGGCTGCTATATAAGTATAAAATAGTCGATTCTCACTTTCCCGAAACCTACCTTCCGAAATTCCATTTCCCCGACCCATAATTACGATATCTCTTTACCGACAAGCATATTTTCTGACAGTTTATTTTACTGATAAAAGTTCTTACCGAATTTTTTTCCCGATACAAATAATTTCCCGACAAACTGAATTTCTGAAAAATTTTATCATCTGACTTTTTTTACCGATAAAACCCTTTCTCCGAACTCCTGTTCCCCAGGCAAAAATTTTTTTGAAGCCATTTTTACTGAAAATATTTTGACATATTTCCCGAAAGGATGTTTTTCCGAAAGATGTTTTCATGAAAAGATATTCCTCAAAAAGAAATTTCTTAGCAATCGATTGAACAAAATCGCATAAATCAAGCCAACTCAACATAAACCAGGCCAAATTTGTCATTTAAATGGTTATCGGCAAATTAGCTTATACATTTTTTTCGAGATATCAGGTGACCCGGAATTTATAAAGATATCTGTAAATTCGAGCTTTCAGTATTTAAAGAAATAGAATGTCAGAAAAATGTACCATTCAGAAAAATGGCATGTCGGTGAAATAGGCATTCATCTATTTAATATTCGGTGAATTATTATATAATTCGGTAAAATGAGATTTTCGGTTGTTAATAAAATGGGATGTCAGTATTATGACTTCAGTGAAAATATTTCAGTAAAACTGATTTCAGGAAGTTAACCAGTAACTGCGGGAAATAATGCTCGTGAGCGTTATTTTGAAAATCGAGTCTTTCAAAAATAACTTATATGGGGTCTTTGCCTTGAAAATCAAGTATGGGACATATGATTTACTATGTTCCGTAACTCGATTTTCAAGGCAAAGACCCCATATGGTCTCGAATTAGCGTTTATGGGCGCCCTGAATTAACGCGCATCCAGGCCCCCGACTGATTATAACAGAGGTTATATTTGAGCCGTTAGCAGGTTTTCTGCAATTTGATTGGATAAAATTTTTTGGCCAATCAAATTGCTTAATTTTGCAAAATTTTGACCTCTGTTAGCTATTTTTCAAATATAATATTGTTTGGAGTCCTGCGCATCCTAAAACAGGTTGAATTAATGAATATGGGGTGCATACCGGGAGACAATTTTCCCGATATGTACCTGTTAGTCTGTCATAGATCCGCCAAATACCTGCTGTATATCAACAACATATTGGAAGCATATTGGTAAGATATCGGGAAGTAGATGTATATTGATATCAGTAATGTAACAGCACAATATTGGGATACCCTAATATCCTACTGTAACCATCGTAAGGGAGAGCTTAGTCACATGAATTGGGCGATAAATTATGGTATTCAGATATTCATGATTTATTAGGCATTTATTATAAAAAAGAATTGAATATATATGATCCTTTTTATTGAGGAATTCTGGAGAGCGAATGTTATCCTCAACTAAGGATGAAGACATTTTTATATACATTCTAATTTTACAGATTTTCAACATCAGGATCTCAACGCTTACGCTGTAGATTCCATATTTACTCAAGGCGAAATGATTACAAATTAGTGCAATCACGTATACGCTCTATTTTGAACGTAGACGCTCTATTTTGAGCGTAAACGCTCTTGCATGAATTAAGCCACCAAGAATACATAATAATGCCTAATATTACTAAGGTAAGATTAACATGACTAGGATGGTACAATTATGGAAGGTGAGTGACAACTTAAAGAATTAGACAAATACGGAAGTGAGGAGACACAGGAAAAGTTAATCGTTACACTACTCTTAGCACTCTGGGCTAAAAGTAAGATATCGGAGTATCCCAATATTTTGCTGTTATGTTACTGATATCGATCTACCTCCTGATATTGTACCAATGTGCTTCCAATATGATGCTAATATTCAGCATGTATTTGGCGGATCTATGGTAGATTAACGGGCACATATCGGAAACATTTCTCCCGGTATGCACCCGATATTCATTGATTCAATGTAGCACATAATTTACTATACTGTTGCAATAGATATACAGTCGATACTCCATATGCACACCTCTATAAGTGCGCTTCACATGCACTTTCCCTATAATGATAAGTGCAATAATTTGATCGGTCAATATAATTATTTAATATTATATGTAGATTATTCTTCAAAATGACATGCATTTATTGAAGATCAACTATATTGAATTTAGAAAATCCTCTCTTATTTTAAAATAACGCAAAATGGCCCTATTTAGAATAATGCACAGGTCAATTAATTAGCGTACGGTGGACATTATTTCGCGCTTATATGATAATAGTAATATTATATAAACCTATCAGCTTGTAGCTCCATGATCGGCCCCAAAGTATGAGCTGAGCCGTTTTTAGAGCCGATGGTTTATTGGTAGGTCTGGAACTGAGCCGTTAACTGGCTCGGCTTAACTGTTCGGTTCGCGGCTCAGCTCGAGCCATTTACATCACTACACAGGACACAAAGGTTAATTTTTTAATACGTATAAATAGCGTAAATGCGTCGATGTGAATATCTAATACGTGTAAATTGATGTGAATATCTTGCTGATTTACGTTTAGTTATCCTTTTTGGTAATCAATTTAAGAGTAATGCTATTTTTGCGTATCAATTAATAACGATAATCGTAGATTACCCAAATAAGGAATCAAATAGTAATATTATTATTTAAATATTTTACTAAAAAAAGGTCATAAAATGAAATTTTTTTTAAATACACTTTAGTCAGTTATCAATAACAGGTACCAAAATTCCATTCGTATAGTACAGTACATATCACTTATCATTCTTCATTACATGTTCTTAGTTTTGTCAAGTTAGACTCATCTTGTCTTTTCAGATCTTTTTGCATACCAGATAAATCGATAATTTATAATCATATCAAAGACATCTCAATAAGACATTTTTTCCTTTTATTATTTAATTATATTACACACAAAATCATTAGTTAATAGATGCATATGACAGCTAAAAATACTCGGCATATGTCTAAATTCTTATTCGAAGCCTCATATTATAACGAAATATAGGCTGTATTATTAATTATCGACATCTATCAACAGAACTTCCAATCACATATACACACATAAAGTTTAGTACGTAAAAAAACAAGAGCATACAATGAGATGTGAAAAATAAACAGCATGTGACAGTTAGGTCACGCGGACCAACAGATTCAAGATTTTGTGGATACACACCATTTCGATCGCCACGATTTTCGGACTGAGAGGGATTATTAAATTTCACGATTTTTGATTGGTTAAAGGTAACAGATGATTATCGGGTAATCTCGTGATGCGTTGGCTCTACATAGCCCGTGTAATTTTTCTTTTACATTATCTTGGTTTTTTATTATGCAAATCGACTTACATTTATAATTGAAAAAATGTCTATCATGTCAAAATTAATATGAATCTAATAAAATCTCATTTTTTAAAAAATTGTAAAAATGGACTGTTTCGATTGAAATCACCCCATATAACCATGCACTACGTGATATGCACCACTCTGTTCCTGGTACTTGAAATAATTATAGGGAAATCTACAATGGGGATTATTACAGA